GAGAGTGCTAAGTCAGCCCATGCTACATAGCAAGACCCCTTCTCAAAAGCAAACAAAGCAAACCAAAAAACACTCCTAGAGTGGTTAGAGAAGAAACTGGTAAGCAAATATTTAACATTTGTGCCTCTGTGTGCTAGGCACTGTCACAAGAACATTGTGTGTATTTACCCAGCTAAGTATTATAACAAGCTGACTAGTCGGGTACTCTTTTTATTCCCATTTAAAAGATAAAGAAATCAAGGAACAGAGAAATTAGTAACTTACTTAAACACTCACAAAGGTAGACACACAAAGGTCTCCTACCTTTGGCCTTGAAAGTAGGAGATCATAGTCTATAGCCTGCCCTTTAACTACCATGTGATCTGCCCCTTTTGAAAGAGAATTCGGGACTTTAAAATAAAAACATTAAAAGATGGACATATATTAGAGGGAGCAGCACCCTTAAGGAACTGCAGAAAGTTCCATGAGATTGGAACTTGGTATGAGCATGGGGTGAGGAAGCCACAGGCAGAGATAACATTTGTGCTGCATTTGCATTCCGCGGAGCCCAGTGTGTGGATAGTTTGGATAAGACTGGATAGAACCAAAACCATCCTAAGTAGTCACAGCACATATTTAATAATATGTGAGACAGAGTATAAAGTCATGAAATAGATCTTACTCTAACACAGGAAGTCATACCTTAGTATCCATAGGGGACTGCTCCAGGATGCCCCTCAGATACCCAAATCTGCAGATACTCAAGTCTTATATAAAACAGTGCAGTATGTGCTATAGCTACAGTTTTCAGTGTGCTTTATATCATACCCCACACAGTGCCTACACATCACTTCATTCATGTGGGTTCTGCATAGGACTCAGCATGCTACAAATTCAAGTCTTGTTTTTGAGAACTTTCTGGAATTGTTTCTGAATATTTTCTGTCCTCATTTGGTTGAATCTACAGATGTGAAACTCAAGGATATGGAGACTGACTATATTCTATGAGCGTGATCCCCGTCATCAGTCAGCTTTGAAAGCTTTGCCTTTATTTCCATTGCTCAGAGTTTATGGAGAATGTCTCTTCTGAAATATCTTCAGAACGAGTCCCAGTGAAAATCTTACCTTGTGCTGGTGCCTCATTTCTGTCTCAAGTGCATTTCCTAGTTTGATCACTCACCACTCCAGTCACTGGATTAGTTCTGAATAACTTAAGCCTGTTTTCTGAAATAACATCCACTCTAAAAAAACCAAATATATAAAAGAGTGATTCTGACTTCACTATGTACTTTAAAATCAATGGGGGGGGGGCTTGATTAAATAACACCTCACATGTCCTGTCCCTCAGTAATTCTGGCTCAGATGGTGTGAGGCGGGCAACAGGAACCTGCAATCTTTAAGAAGCGTGCTGAAGTTTCTGTTTTGAATGACCAAACCACAGTTTCAGAAGTACAGATGTGAGGATGTTAAGAGAAAGGGTAGTATGTCTTAAGATAGTTCCAAAATTGTTTCAATCAACAAGGATAAAAATGGCATGTATTTCCCATGTTGGGGGACTAGTCTCTTGTAGATGATACTTATTTAGAATTAAGTGTTGTTACATTAAAAAAAAAAAAATCGGCCATAATCCTGTGCCTCAGGAAGGATCCATTCATGTGGTTTTCTACCTTTGTAAGAAGGAGTGTTCCTTTCTGAATCAGGTGAATCACGTAAAGATCCGGTATTAGAAGATCTAGTAATTTGTCTACAAATGACTTTATTTTTCCTTTTTCTTAAAAAAGATGGGTTTCTTTAACTTCTTGGAACTGGGGCACTAATTCCAAGAGCAAGCAAGCAGAGCTGACATACTTATTCTCATTATCCAGGTTCACCAAGATGGGTCCAGGGGCTGTCCTACAATATTCACAGTGTCAGGAAGCTCCAGAAACATCCTTCATTCATGGTGTGATACACCATGAATCCATCCCTTCCTGAATCCACGTCTGCACCTAAAGTCGTCCTCCATCTTCTGATCATGTTCTCAGATAATAACAAATACAATTCTTATTGGGAATGCAAGAACTTCCAAGTTGCCTTACTATTACTTATTATCAGTCCTCTGTCTCATTCCCATTCACTGCAGAGAATATCATACTATTAGACACTGAAATTCAGCAACAACAATAAATCTGGATCTCACAGGTGGGCCCTGAGCTCCATGGGTGGCTGATGGAGCTGTGCCTGAGGAATTAGGAGGTCAGACTCTTTTAGGCACTACTGGGTTGCAGTGTGGAGGCTACAAGTCTCTCCAGGAAGGTCCTTTGTCCCTCAGAGTCCTTACACACAGCCAGCTGGGTTTTGTCTAGACCCAAAGATCCAGTATTATCCAACTTTAAGAGATGTGGATGCTTTATGACTTTTCTAGGGTCATCAACTTTACTAGTTTAAAGCTTAGTGAGGTATAGAGAGAGAGACTATGAGACTCCAATGGGTGAAAAATTTAGAAAAAGAAAAAATATTTTTTAATCCAGCCATTCTCTTTCTTTAACATTAACAAGGACAACTACATGTTCTGTAAGAGCTAAAGAGATAACAAAGGGAAAAGAGAATGACTCACTAATGCTATTAAACAGCCTCAACCAGTGGGAGCAGTAATTAGAGGGAAAACTTCATCCTTGTCCTTGCTCTTTTACTTCCATCTTTCCTCTCCTCCTATTTAGAGTTGCCAAATTTAGAGAGAAAGAAAGAAAGCCAGGATGCCTAGCTAAATTTGAATTTCAGATAAATAGGAATAATATTTGATTATGTGTCTCCCAGCAATATTTGGCTCCTCTTCTCTGGGCACTCTGTTCCAAACAACTCAGTGCTCTTGTTTTATCTTCTAGTCGTTTTTAACCCAGGAGATTTGTCCCTTAACTGGATCAAAGTCTCCTTTTGTGCAGGATCTTACTTGGTAAACCACAAGACACCATAAATATTGATTTCTTTGTTTGGGGGGCCCTCTGTCACACCTGAACTCCTCATAGCTGTGTCCTCATGCACCTGTGAGGTCAATACTGCATGAACAATGACAGGGCTGAGCACAGAACCCTGAACCTAATACATGTGCTGTATAGTTTTATGATTGATGAGTGATCTGAAAGCAATTTGTTGTCTTGTTAAGAGTCAATTAAATTTAACATTTATTAACCATTTACTTTCATGCCAGGAGTTAATTAGTTGGCTCTATGTGCTCTGCCATCCACCTAAGAAGTTAAATTAATGACTCTTCCCCTTTTGGAAAAATGAGAGGATAGAGGAAGGGAGCGGGGTTGGGAGCTACACCCAGATTTTTCAAACTTGTGTTATGGTTTAGTCAAAAAGATAGGAATAAAAAATTGTCCTTTATTTTTCTTTTTTCTTTTGGTGATACTAGGGTTTGAACTCAGGCCCTTGTGCTTTCTAGACAGGTGCTCGCCCACTTAGGTCATGCCCCAGCCCAAGTGTACATCTATAGAGAGAATAATTTCAAACCTTGGTATATTACCTCTCCAGGAATAGAGCAAGAGTTCACCATTATACATTGTCTCATTCCATCAGTTTTTCTAGTTCTAAACTGCCCCCATGGCACAATGGTGTTATAATTTAATATCAGCAGTATCATAAAAATAAGAAAGAACTTCGAAAGCCAATAGAATGATATAATGTCCAGCTTATATTAAAACGCTTTGTGGTATGTACAGTAACAGGACAATTTATAGAAAGGACATCAGATAATTAGGGATCTTTTTACACACTTTGTGCTTCTGTTAATGATATTATTTAAATTTTCCTTCTCTAAGACACTGAACAGTCTTCAAACCTGGAAGATGAATAGTTATTAATGCCTTCTTGGTTGAGTGCTTTTCAGGTGTAAAATGCACAGAAGGGTGAACACAGATTTAGAAGTCTCTACATGATTAGTTTTGTGCCAGAGAGACTTGTCCTAGGCAGAATTGTATGTGTGGTTTTCAGAGCCCTGACTCCCCCTTTCTGAGTTCCTCCCCTGGTCCACAATGCCCTGCTGCCTGCTCAGATCCCCTATATTTTTTGGAAGGTGGAGGAAGACCAGGAAACTGCACCTACTTAGAAATTTCATCACTGTGTCTGTCCATGAGCCATGCTGAGAGAAAGCCCATCTGACTGTAGGCAGAAATGGCTACAATATAGCTGCCAGGCTTGTATTTTACACCAATGAATAAACAGAAACATGCTGCCATATATGCAACCATCAGTAAAGTCCATAACTTTATGTGGCTCAACTATATTTTGAGTGTCCTTGGGGTGAGGTAAGCTGACACACGAATTCATGTTAATTTCTCACCAATTCCAACATCACACACATCAGAAAAGTAAGCTCCTATGAAAGTAAATTACCATGTGTTATCAAAATCCAATATGATAACTTCAAGGCTAAAGTTGTAATTGAAAAATCTTTTCTGGACTGTGTTTGACTTTTAGAGTGATAAATCCTATCCTCTATATCCTGTATCTCTAGTGTTAAATGAATTTCAGCCTATTAGTCATTTAAAAAAAAGAGTGTTAGAATAGCAATTTTATTTGGAACGAGACCAAATTAAGCCTGTTGTATTTTTTTAATCCAGGTGCACTCCTTGTGGGTTTTTTTTTTTTTGGTATTAAATATATAACAAAACGATTAGACAAAGATTGAAGTAAATGCTTATGTTTTATTCATACCAGAACTATTTGTTTTCTCCTTTAAGATGAAGCCTTGTAATATCTTTACAAATTCCTTAATATTAAATATGCATCACTTTGTTTCCTCCGAAAATTCTTTTTTGGGTAGGAAATGAGTTTAGTGAGATCTAATAACTCTAGATCTTTCCTATTCAACCTAGTAGAATGTGTTGATTGACTCCACAGCTTCACGGATCTCTGATTTGGGAATAAAATCTATAATAAAATTAGGACTGTGATGCTAGCTCTGTTTATTTGAATAGCCTTTTTATCTAGCTAATTTGAATTCAAATGCATTATTAATATTTTTCTTCTTTTTAATGTAGGTGGAAAACAGACCAAAATATTATGGAAGAGAGTATGTATTACACTATTTTTTGCTTTAATAATTTAATAAGTAGTCTCTTCATGTGTCATTTAAATATTAAATATTAAGAATTCTCTAATATATGATCTTCATCACATGTCCATTGTGCAAGAGTTTAATAAGAAGAATAATCACAATCAGTCTCTTTTGTATTGAATTTTCTTTACAACATGCAGGTGCTTAGTTTCCATTAAGGAGGAAGGGAAAGGGTCTGATGCTACAGTTCTCTCCACAAAAAGCAGCTTCCAAGGGCCTGGAAATATAACGCAGCGTTTTTCATAATGGGGGCTCTCTGTTAGCCTTTTATTTCACTATCTGCCTTCATACAATATAAACATTTAAGGTGTCAAAGACCATGCACTATGACTGGATTACTGATTTGCATGTACCTCAGTACATGAAGTAGTCAGGGAAGGCATTTCATTTCCCTAGTCTTATAACACCAAAATGGTGATTCCTCCTAATTTTGATATAGTAACCAAATTGCCTTAATATCATCATTATTACCCATCCCCCATATCTGCCTTAATTCCAGCTCTTATTTCACAAATATGCATGACCATAAAAAGAAGTTGCAGTGTAAGACTGTGCCATGTGAAGCACCTTACAGAGAGAGGGTTCACCACCCTCTCCAGAGGTTGATGCTCCAGAGGGAGAAGGGATGCACAGGTCAATTTTCTTCCCATGGCCAACCTGAGGCAAAGTCTTTTTTCAATCCACCTCCCAAGCTCTCCCAGCCAATCCAAGACCTTTTCCCTCTGATTTCCTTACCCATCAGAGCCTCCACTTCATGATTAATGACCCTCTTAGTAGTCACAGCCCAGTGCTCCTTCCTAATTGCCTCAGCTGCATTTCAGAGCCTTCCTTACTGGGCTTTGAGAATTTAGCTAGCCCTCTGGAGTACCTACCCAGGAAAGCGGGCTTCCCCTCCCTTCATCCCATATCCCTAAAATCTAATCTATGTTGTAATATGATTTTCTGTCTCAGTGTAGCTACAATATAGTGTGCTTGAGAGTAACACAATTATAAAAAAGAGAAAATGAAAACTATTGTATTCACTTTGCACATGAATTCTAAAAGGTTTTTATGCATGGTAAAACATAAAAGTTTTCTTTTGAAAAACCTTTTTCCTTTGAATAACCTTTCAGTTCTCATCTTTCAACCCGCAATTCATGTAAAATACATAGGCCAAGGAAACATTTTCTTAACCCCAAAATGGAACACTTTGTATTAGATTCTGTGTTTCTCTTTCTTGGTTTTTTTTTTTTTTTAAGGTTTTTCTCCCACTGAGAAAAGTAATACATGTGCCTTCAGATAATGCAAATTTCTTGTTAATGAAACTTAAGGGTTGTTGACAGTGGGTGCCTTTAAGAGACAGAAGGTATGCTTCTCTGTTGTTGAAACGTTTACTTCTTTTGTACCTTTCAACATGTGAATTTTGAATATGCTAGCTGTGGACAGGTATTTCTTTAATTTTTGTAAAGTTAACAAATGAATACCTGCTAACTTGAAAAAAATAAGAAATATAGAAAAATAGACAGTGGAAAACACACACAACCCTCCCTCCAAGAAAGCGACTTATCGTTACCTTTTCCCCATGCTCTTCTTTTCTGGTCCATCAAATGATATTTGTACATCACAGCATGCATCAAGAGTATCTTGAGGCACAGACTGGATCTTCAGATGCTCAAACTTGTTATTTTCTTCTTTTGGACAACTGAACTTAGTTCTTGACATCCTACACATGCCTCTAGTGTTCACTCATACTTGCCAGCTCAAGGGTGTTACAGTTTAGCTGTGTCCACATTAACTGCCTATTTGGGACACTCCTTTTCCCTTTTATTCTGCCCTTTTCCTTTAAGAATACCTTGGGGCAGAGTGCCAGGTCACTGCACTGTCCTCTGTGAATGTCTCACCCTGCTGTGACCCACCATCAGGCATGACCTGGACATCCATTGTCAATCCTCATCTGATACTGCCTTTTGATCTTTTTGACTCTGGGGAAGAAACTTTCCCATTTCCCACCCTCCTACTCCTGACCCATGTCTGTCTCTCTCTCTCTCTCTCTCTCTCTCTCTCTCTCTCTCTCTCTCTCTCCCTCTGGCCTCACTCCTACCCCAGCCCAACTTCTTCTAAAACACTGGTTGATCAAGTCTCTGAATAATGGCTGTAAGTACCCCTCTTTGCTGAAAAACAGCAAGGAAGATGGATTGGGACCTAGGTTGTCCTTCTTTGGTTGCTCTCCACTCCCTAGGCCTCAGACAACTGCCTCCAGGAGGTCAAAGCCTGAAACCCTAATGTAGCACGTATGTGTGCTACTTTTAAAATAGTAGAAAAAGAAGATAAATGTTGTCTTTAAAGCAGAAAAGTAGGTAAATTTTCCAGATATATCCCTAAGCAATCAATCTCAAAATGTAAAAGACTGGAAGAATGTGGATTATAGCCAGCTCTTTTTAGAGAAAGAGCCTCTGAAATCAACAGCATCCTGCATCTGAAAGAAGCAGGTTGTTAATCAATGTGTTCATTTGCAATCAGGATAATACATAGTTCTCCATGTTTGAACTGAGAGCTAAATTGGTAATTGCTCTTTTGTTATTCCCCATGGTTACAAAAGGAGCCATAACCTGCCTTTTTGTTTCGACTTTCACTATCATCTGGACAGCAAAGACAATAGCAGAAAAGCAGGTGGACAGTGCTCCTCTGCATTTGCTTATTTGAATACTTGTTATCTGTTTGGCACGCCATGCTGAGAGGTGGTTCCAAGTGGATCTTCAAGAACCGCAATAGTCGCACCCCTCTTCATTCGCATGGGGGCTGTGTATTTTGGGTGGCCCTGACATCCTTTTTAGCCTAGCTTTTATGATCCCCACTTTGTACGGAGTCTGTTCTAAGAAGTGACGGTCTTGATTCCCCCAGGTTTCATGGGATCATCTCCCGGGAGCAGGCTGATGAGCTTTTGGGAGGTGTGGAGGGTGCCTACATCCTTCGGGAAAGCCAGCGGCAGCCAGGATGCTATACACTGGCTCTAAGGTGAGCTGTGTTTCACTCATTCTTTGCATGGCTTTAACAGTGGCTTTGTTTGCTGGATACAGTGGCTCAAGCCTATAATCCTAGCTGCTAGAGAGGTGGAGATTGGGAGAATCAAGGTTTGAGGCCAGCCCAGGGGAAAAGTTCAGGGGTAGGCACCTGTCATCCAAGCTAATGGGTAAGCACAAATAGGAGAATCCAGGTCCAGGCCCCAGAAGAGCCAATGCAAAAGGAGCTAGCAGCATGACTCAAGTGCAGAGCACCTGCTTAGAAGTAGGAGGCCTTCAGTTCAGCCACCAGTACCACCAGAAACAAAACCAAAGGTGGCTTTGCTTATATTTTTCCCATTAAAAAAAACTGAGGTGAAATACATGTACCATAAAATTTACCATTTCTACTGTTAAGTACATTCTCCATGTATAACCATCTCTGCTATGTATTTTCAGAACTTTTTCATCATCCCAAACAATTTCTGCTCTTTAGTTTTAATTTTGACTTTGCTTCCAAAGCACCAGCATCGTTATCAGAGGTGGTGTCTATATTTCCTTGGCCACAGATGTTATCAGGCTGTCAGATGTGTTCACTGAGACTGTGCTTACAGACAAACAGCACACTGGAGAATTATTTGGAAAGTTAGTGTTCCTACAGCTGTGTCTGCCTGAGGCATCAAGCTAGTTGACAGAGCCACATCTTTGCCTCAGTTTCGGTTCAAGCAGCTCTCATTCAACAAGAGCTCCTTCCTCTTGCCTTGCATGTGTGTGCCTGGCAAGACCTCCTGGATCTTGTTTGTTCACGAGGTTCTCTCACCAATCACTTTGACCCCACACTGGTCATGATATTCACGATGCAGCATGCCAACAAGCCAGGAGAGCAGGGTTCTTCTCTATCTTTTTCCAACATCACAAGTGTCGACAGGCATGGCATTTATTGAATTTCCAAACATTGATCCAATACTTTATGTCATTTGATCCTCACCACAATCCTAATGAGGCATGGGGGAGGTATCTAATTTCAGAATCAAATTGTCCTCCAAAAGGTCATTTATGATCTCTTAGGAATTGAGAAGACCTTTCTCCATAGAAGGAATAGGGTGGTTTCCCAGGCTGGCACACAAAGAGTAGGTGTTCAGTGCACAATATTAATATTGTGACCTTGGAAAGAAATCTTCCAAATTGCAACTGGAGAGGTCTAGAACATATTTTAAATGATACAATGATGAGGAAGTGCTTCAAATGCTATCAAGTACTCTGGATATGAAGGTATTTTCCTATCTTCCTAGCACTCCAGCAGCAGGAACTGGCAGCCCTGGTGAGGAACCAAGCAGGGGCTATGAGATGAAAGACTAGGGTCCACAGAAAAGATGTGGGGATAAAAAGAGGGGATCCTGTTCATGAGATTGCTGGGATGCTGGCAATGCTGGTACATGTAGCACAGCAGTTTTCTGTTGCACGAACTGGGGTGTTAGGAATGGGATGTTGTACTGGTGGTAGACAAAAATGCAATAAGGGGACATCAAGGTCAGTGGTGGTGGTGTCCCTTGCAGAGGTAGTTCCAGGTCCCATTAAGGAAGTTTGTAAATAAGATATTGTGAATCAGGTGCTACCCTCTGACTTTTGTAAGTGAGAAATACTACAACCCAATGGCCCAAATGATGTACAGGAACAAATGACCCCAAATGATTACATGGGATCAGAACCTGCTTCTATCCCATTTCAGCAGGGACCATTGTCTCCACTGTGGAGTGGAATAATAATTGCGCCATTCCAAAGGGTGTCCAAGATAACTAAATGTCAAGTGCTTAGCTCTGTGCTTAGCATACAACACATTCTCAAAGCTGTCATTGTTCCACACAGTTCCATTCTTGACTGTTGTAATCCCTTATTCTCTCATGGGCAGGTTCGGAAACCAGACCTTAAACTACCGGCTCTTCCACGATGGGAAACACTTTGTGGGCGAGAAGAGATTTGAATCCATTCATGATCTGGTGACAGATGGCTTGATAACGCTGTACATAGAAACAAAAGCTGCTGAATACATCTCCAAAATGACAACTAACCCCATCTATGAACACATTGGATATGCCACTCTACTCAGAGAAAAAGTGTCCAGAAGACTGAGCAGATCTAAAAACGAATCAAGAAAAGCGAGTGTCACAAATGAAGAGCACACGACTGTGGAAAAGGTGAGCCCTGCATGTGTGTGTGTTTGTGTCTTGTGTGTGTATGTGTTGGTGGAATCAGTCTCACTAGTTTTAGCCCGTGCTGAATAAAAAAGTGGTTAACGATAGATGCAATTTGACAAACTGTTGGAGGAGCCCAATTTACACCCAAAGAACTCCAGAATTTGGGTGCCAAAAGGGACCTTAGAAATCTTCTAGTTCCTCCTCAGTTTATCCATAAAGAAACCAAGACCCAGAAATGTGAAATGGTTTGCCCAAACTCATATGGTAAGAGCCAGGACTTGGACAAATAATCATTTGTGAGTTTGTTTGGAGTTGAAAGAAAAAAAAAACAGTCCATTAATGTTTAATGCTGAGCCAGCATGATGAAACATGTTTTTAATTGCCATTTGAGACATCACTGGCTCCATTTCTAGTTCCACCCAGCTAGCCAAATGCAAGGCGTTGTGTTTATCTCTCTTTGGGATGCGTGACTGTCTGTGGCCCATAGGCCAGCCATCTCTTGAAGTTGGAGGTTTACTGATAGATATGGGAACATTCATGTGATAATGGATACTTCTGGAAGGCTTAGAAAGACAGGTTGGCTTTTGCCCCAGCCAAAGCATCCTTGTGCCTCACCAGGAGTTAGAAAACCCCCAAGTGGGTAAGTGTGTACAGTGGGTGTGTTGTGGCAGGATACAGCAAAGGAGATCCAATTTTCCTCTCCAATAAGTTGCTGCTTATTTGAAAGGCACTGCCACAGTCTGCTAGCAGATTTTTGGATGTGCCTCTTTTGGGACCATCTGCTTTGCCTGGTTGTACCTACTTTCCACTGAAAGAAAGTGACTGCGAGCCACACCATCAGTCCCCACTAAGGCTGTGCTGAGTCCAGCTTCTAAGGCAAACTAGGATTGGTACAGAGATAAATAAGCAGGGCAGGATGGTGAGCGCTGCTCCTTCTGGTGATTTCTAATCCTTAATTAAACCCGAATGGGCCCCATGTTGTCCAGAGCTGGTAGAAACCAAAGGAACCTCAGGCTGATTGGACACCGGTGATAGGGTTCACTGGGAAGCCCTGAAATGAGGAGGGCAGAGGGTGACAACGTGGTCCTGTTGGCAGAGGGGGAGTGATGTTAATTGATTTGCTAATAGAGTTTCAGAGCCAAGGAGAGCCTTCTTCCAGAAGCACATCAGTCGAGCAGCTGGCCCATGAAAAATAATTTGCCATCTTCTTTTTATAAGTCCAGTGTTTCCACTACACCTGTGTATTCTTTTACAAATAATTGATTTGGAAAATTGCAAAGATGTCAATTTAACAGGAGAGGGAGGGATTGGACAGAAAAAGAGGCAGAGAGAGAGAGAGAAAGAGAGAAAACTTGAGTCCTAACTTTTAGCATTTGTTCCAGTCCAGATGAGAGCCATTCCTCTGTGTGTGTGTGTGTGTGTGTGTGTGTTTGCGAAATCTGTTCAAGAGTAATTTAGAATAGAAAATCTGAAAGCAGACCTTCTTGGCCATGACAAATAAGTTGAATTGTAAAATAAATCTCCGAAGCAGTGTTTATATTTCTGAATCAAAGGGTAGAGACATCAGAAAGGCAGTGTGTTACACACATCAGGCCACACAATAGAATATGTCAAGGAAGAGAACTGAGAAGGAAGATGGCTGGCCCCTTCCATGTTAGGGGTGGCAATGTGGACCCTGGGCATAGAAAATGATACTTCTGCATCCTTGTCCTCTCCCCAGAGGGAAATTTGGTGAACAGAAGCTGAAAATGGTGGATAATATTCCTATCAAGAAACTAGTGCAACAAAATTTGTCCTTTTCTGTATTTTGTATTTATGTATTAAAAAGAAACTTGGGGGAAATGAATAATCTAATTACTAATAACATTGAATGAGCCAGCAAGTACACGTCTGCCTTTTTTTGTGAAAAGGTAAATATTGAAGGAAGAAGTCCAAACTCAGCAAGTAGCTTGATGGGCAGGTGTTGGTGGTATGGATTTTCTTGGACATTAATGATATGATGTTTGGCTTTCCTGGGATGCTGTGGACACTGGATCTGGTCACTTGCTGGAGGCCACTCATTTTGTTAGTATTTTGCAAAGTAACTTGGTAGGAATCCATCCATTTCTCTCTGACCTGTATTGACAAGTGGAATTATTAAAAAATCTCAGTCTTGCCAGAGATACTATTTCCCCTAAGGACAGGTCAGTGCCTGTTGCCATGGAGGCAGGGACTAGCAAAAAGGTAGTGGAAACTTGAATGGATTGATTGAGAAGAGCTTGAGGTACTTGCCTGCTTTGGTAATGGTGCGTTTTGAAGGTTTTAATGAGCGAAATGGGTAGGTTTCCCAATATTTTTCAAATCCAGACATGCCACCATTTCCATTTCCAAAGTACTTAAATGATGTTCACCCATTCACTTTATTGATCATTCCCAAATGAATCCAGACAGACCATGTTATCTGCAAATCCACGAACATTAACAGAGCTAATTGGCAAAAAAGATATTACCTACAGCATCAGATTTGAGGGGTTTCCAGATTTATCTCCTGTCAAGATGCTAGCAGCACACTTGATTTTAATAACTGCAGATGAGATGAGGAGGTGGGGAGGAGGCAAAGAAAAAAAAAGTTGTGCTAGTTTAGCCAATAGCAATAGATTCTGTATTTAGTTGGTTTTTAAAACATTGTGATATGTAAGGGTCACTATTCAGTGCACTTAATTAAAATGGTCACATCCAGTGTAAATATCTTATATGAATTTATTCCATAGGTGGGTTGTGTACTGACCTTCAAAAACTGGCCCTGTAAACAATATAAAAATAATAAGAGTATTCGACGTTCTTTCAGACATTTATAGCTCATAAACACATTTCACATAGGTGAAGTCGTTTCCCATTTTATCCTAAAAGCAATTTTTCTAGGTTATAGGGCACAAATCATCATTTCCATTTTATTAAAATATTCACAATGGTGGGGTGAAGAATCAAACCTAGGCTTCCTAGTTCTAAGTTCAGGGCTTCTTAGGACTACTGAGCAGCTGGACTTCCTTCTGTCCTGATTGCTCTTATTGCTATAAGAAAAACTCTTGGTTTTGACTATCTGAAGTCAATGGACACTAAAAGTCTCTCAATCTTTTCATGATCTGTTTTTGAAACTACACTGCTATTACTAGCTGTAAGAACTAAGATTTCTTATCAGTTATATCCTACTGGGTTAAATATATTTGTCAACAATGTTTTCAATAGCACATTTTTATTAGATGAATATAACTTGCCATATTAATGTATGTTTTACTGAGAAAAAATCACCTATACCCTTGATATAGTAAAAGCACATTTAAGAATATTCAGATTGAGTATCCCTTATCCAAAATGTTTGGGACCTGGAGTGTTTCAAAGCATTGGAGGGTTTTTTTTTTCCAGAATATTTATATAGACTTTACCAGTTATGCATCCATAATCTGAAAACCTAAAATCCACAATGTTCCCAAATTCTAAACTCACTCAGAAACTTTCAGATTTTTGGGTTAGGGATGCTCCATCTGTTCCACATCTTACTCATTCATTATAAATACCCATCAACTAGGGACTGCTTAATAAGTATGGTACCTCCATACAATCATAAGACAACAATGAGAATCCTCATATGAGCGGATATGGAAAATGAAAAACGTACTTGAGATACAGTGTGTATAGTAAGTGTCATTTGTATAAATTAGAAGAAAATTATTTTATATAGGTTTTTCTTGTCAAATCATAAAGCATCCTTTGAGAAACACAACAGCTAACATCACTGGTTGCCTGTCATGGGGGTAGTGGGTGCCTGAAGGAGTAAGTGTGGGAAATAGATTTTTTTTCCTATTTGATACTCTTTGAACTTTGAACCATGATACATAGCATAGCTGTTCAAAAATTAAAGAAGAATAACATTATTACGTCTTCCAGTCAGATATATTAAACCAAAGTAAGTAAAACATTTTCTGTTCTCAGTGTCACACACACACACACACAAAGCAGTTCCAACACTCTGGTTTTCCCATTCTTTCTCTTCGGCCTCTTTTCCCCTGTCCATAACACCCTATTTCTTTCATCTCCCCTCCACCTGATGGATCACAGTCTGTGTTCAGCAGACTTTTACTAAGGGTTGAGACCTGGAAGAAGGTAATTATAGCACAGAGCAGAAATGGCCAAAGAGAGAGTATGACATGACTATCCTTGGTCAACTGCTGCTGCCTCCTTGGCATTCCCACTATCCACTCACAGATCCCCAGCTGTGCTCCCTGGGGACCTCCCCTGCCTCCACCCATTTGCCCTTCCCCACCTCTCCCTTCTTAAACTGATGGAGGATTAACTCCCACATTCCATTGCTTTCTTATAGTGGGAAAAATAAATAAAAACTCTTGAGTTTCCCACTCTACTGCTGGAAACCAAGGAGAACTGCCTTTTGTGGCTGGGAAGTCTTCCCGCCTCATAGGATGTCCTCCTGTACAGATGAACTGTTTTAGAGGCATCAGTGATCCCTCCCCTGCCATGCACTTAAAAAAACAGTAATAGTTTTCTTCCTTCCCAGCTACTTATCTTTATATCCAGAGTGATTCCTTCATTGTTTCTTTCACTGCTTCCACCGTGTGATTCAGCTGACCTGTCCAGATGCGTTTGCATGGGCAGAGATGATACATTTGCCTGCATTGTCCCTAAATGGAGGCCATGGCCATGTCAAGAAATGAATAGCCATCCCTGGCTGACCAGCAGTAGCCTCCAGAGCTGGTTGAGGCCATCCTGAGTGGCTCTCCCCAACTCCACACAATGGCTGGCGCCCCCTCCTGACTTTTTCCTCAATAAACTGTTGTCCTTGTTTTAATCTTGCAAAGTGCTGTTTTGCTTTGTCTACAGGACAAATTTCAAATTCTTTCGTGTGACATTTGCAGCCTATCTGAGACAAGGTCTTAAAACATTTCTTTAATCTGGGCTTTGTCTCTGAGGGAGCAGGAGGGGAAAGGTCAAGATCAGAGAAAATAAAA